CCCCACAGCCCCTCCTCCCTCAGACCCCAGAGCCCAGGTCCCCAGCCCCTCCTCCCTCAGACCCCGGAGCCCAGGCCCCAGCCCCTCCTCCCTCAGACCCAGGAGCCCAGGCCCCAGCCCCAGCCCCTCCTCCCTCAGACCCCGGAGCCCAGGTCCCCAGCCACACTTTACATGGGGCCTCATCCATTTCACGCCTTTGGCCTTCTCCGAGTCTGGTCCCAGCTGGTCGTAGCCAAGGGCATCAGGTCCAGCAGGGAAGTAAGGGTCTCGGAACAGGATCCCTGAGTCCAGGCAGGCTGCCCGGATTGCCTCATAGCTCTGGCCCCGAAAGAGCTGCGGGCCCCCGGCTCCAACCCCGGCCTCCTCTTCCACGAGCTGGATGGTGACCCTCCCGCTGCCGCTTGCCATCTGGACACTGGCCTCACAGGCCAGCACCAGGCCCTTTAACCTCCTGAGTCACAGGGGTGGGGCCTCCCCCCCACTGGAGAGTCAGTGGGGGTCCCGAGGCATCGAGGAGCCTTTCCTCGTTAATATTAATTGATGGTTTGGGGTGCTGGGGAGCAGGGACGCCGCCTCAGTGGTTTCCTCCCTGGGGCGTGGGGCCTTCAATTGTGGCCAAGGTAGCAGCTTAATGGGCTTGGCCAGCAGCAGGAGAGAAGGCAGGCAGACCTGAGGGAGGACCGGCTTTGCTGTGGGAGCGCCGAGAAGGAGGTCAGTGTGGGGGCGCCTCTGCTACCAACGCTTGCCGGGCTGGGGAGGGAGGCGGTTTACCTCTGTGTCTCCATCTCTCAGATCGCCTCTCTCCGCCTCCCGCTGACAGGTTCTGTCTCCCACCTTCATTGCTCTCCCCCGTCCCTGTCATTGCTTCTCCCTCTCCATCTCTCATGGGGTGGGGGGTGTGTGTGCGTGCGCGCGCGTGTGTGTTCTGGGACAGAGTCTCACTCTGTTGCCAGGCTGGAGTGCAATGGTGTTATCTCAGCTCACTGCAACCTCTGCCTTCCAGGTTCAAGGGATTCTCCTGCCTCAGCCTCCCGAGTAGCTGGGATTACAGGCCTGAGCCACCACACCTGGCTAATTTTGTTTTTTAGTAGAGACAGGGTTTCTCCATGTTGGTCAGGCTGGTCTTGAACTCCTGGCCTCACGTGATCCTCCAGCCCCCAGTAAGCTGGGATTACAGGTGTGAGCTACGGCTTCTGGCTCTCTTGTTTTTTGTTTCGGGCAATATCTGTGTCTCTGCATTTCCCTGTCTCCATCCCTCTCTGGCTTTTTTTGTTGTTGTTGTTAATATAGAGACAGGTGGGGTGGGGCGTCTCCCTTTGTTGCCTAGACTGGTCTCGAACTCCTGGGCTCAAGTGATCTTTCCCGCTTGGCCTCCCAAAGTTCTGGGATTACAGGTGTGAGCCACCATGCCCCGCCCCCTCAGTCTCTGTGTCTCTTTCAGCGCGTGTGTTTCTCTCTCTACCTGTCAGACCCAGGAGTCCAGGCCCCCAGCCCCTCCCCCCTCAGACCCTGTCAGTGTGTGTTGTGTCGGCCTCCCTGTCTCCCCCTCTCCATCTTTCTGTCTGTCCCTGTAACCCACCTGTGGCTCCTCCATCATCCACCGCAGGACCCTGAGCCCCGCTTTGATCACGCCCCAAGCCCTCAGGACGCTTCTCCTCCCTCCCTGAAAAGGCACTCAGCCTGCTTGCCCAGGGAGGCTGACCCTGGAGGGGTGGCTCCTGCATCTGTCCTATGCTGGGAGCCTCAGCTACCTGTGACCGTGAGGCCCTGCCCTAGCCCACGCCACTCAGGGTCTGGGTGGAGCAGAATTTCCCACAAAGGACTCTGGAGCCGTTGGAGGAAATGGGAGAAATGGGTTCGGAGACTCCAGAACCTCCCCAGGGCTGGGCCCGGCAGACCTTCCACGCTCCTCAAGGACATATACTGCCCTCCCAGTGCCTTGTCACCTTGATGCCACGCAGATGTCCCTCAAGCCTTTTGGGCTCCTTCCCTCCAAGTGGACCCACAGATATTGTCCTAGCTGCCCACGTACACGGCTACCAAAAGTGGATTACCAAACAGGCTTTCTGGCCCAGCCCGGCAGCTCACCCCTGTAATCCCAGCACTTCGGGAGGCCGAGGTGGGCGGAGCACCTGAGGTCAGGAGTTCGAGAGCAGCCAGGCCAACACAGTGAAACTCTGTCTCTACTAAAATACAAAAATTAGTCAGGCGTGGTGGCACATACCTGTAATCCCAGCTACTTAGGAGGCTGAGGCAGGAGAACTTCTTGAACCCAGGAGGTGGAGGTTGCAATGAGCCGAGATTGTGCCACTGCACTCCAGCCTGGGAGACAGAGCGAGACTCCATCTCAAGAAAAACCCCAGAAAACACGGCCAGGCACAGTGGCTCATGCCCATAATTCCAGCACTTTGGGAGGTTGAGGTGGGCAGATCACTTGAGGCCAGGAGTTTGAGACCAGCCTGGCCAACATGGTGAAATCCCGTCTCTATTAAAAATACAAAAACTGGCCATGTGTGGCGGCTCACACCTGTAATCCCAGCACTTTGGGAGGCCAAGGCAGGCGGATCACCTGAGGTCAGTTGTTCGAGACCAGCCTGACCTACATGGAGAAACCCTGTCTCTATTAAAAATTAGCTGGGTGTGATGGCACATGCCTGGAGGCTCAGCTACTCAGAAGGCTGAGGCAGAAGAATCACTTGAACCTGGGAGGCGGAGGCTGCAGTGACCTGATATCACACCATTGCACTCCAGCCTAGGCAATAAGAGCAAAACTCTGTCTGAAAAAACAAAAATTAGCTGGGCATGGTGGCATATACCTATAGTCCCAGCTAGTCGGGAGGCTGAGGCAAGAAAATTGCTTGAACCTGGGAGGCAGAAGTTGCAGTGAGTGGAGATCACACCATTGCACTCCAGTCTAAGCGACAGAGCAAGACTCCATCTCAAAAAAAAAAAAAAAAAAAAAAAAAAAGGTCGGGCGCGGTGACTCACGCCTGTAATCCCAGCACTTGGGAGACCAAGGCAGGCGGATCATCTGAGGTCAGAGTTTGAGACCAGCCTGACCAACATGGAGAAACCCCATCTCTACTAAAAATACAAAATTAGTCGAGTGTGGTGACACATGCCTATAGTCCCAGCTACTCAGGAAGCTGAGGCAGGAGAGTCGTTTGAATCCGGGAGGTGGAGGCTGTGGTGAGCTGAGATTGTGCCATTGCGCTCCAGCCTGCGAAACTGTCTCAAAGCAAACTGGTTTCCCCTTACGCTGCCAAGCCCACCCCACCTCCACGAGAGTCACGTGGGAGTGCCTCCAACCTGCCTGGATTAGAAGCCAGAGCACCTGGGTTCCAATCCTATGCTGCCACCTACACCTGTGTGTCTTTGGGCAAGTCACTTAACTTCTCTGTGCCTCAGCTTCCTCACCTCTGCAATGCGGATGATAATAGGGCTTACCTCGGAGGGTTGCCGTGGGAAGCAAATGAGCCCATTCGTGGGATGTGACACAGAGTAGCTGCTCATTTTGCAAGACGCTGACTGTGTCCTGGTATCCATCCACGTCACGTGTCTCCTCAGAGCTGCGCCGCTCTTCCTGTTCTGTTTGTTTGTTGGTTTGTTTTTTTGAGACAGAGTCTCCCTTTGTCGCCCAGGCTGGAGTGCAATGGCGAGATCTCAGCTCACCGCAACCTCTGCCTCCCAGGTTCAAGCAATTCTCCTTCCTTAGCCTCCCGAGTAGCTGGGATTACAGGCACGGGCCACCGTGCCTGAGCCCAGATTTTTTGTATTTTTATTAGAGATGGGGTTTCACCATATTAGCCAGGCTGATCTCAATCTCTTGAAATGAGGTAATCCACCTGCCTCAGCCTTCCAAAGTGCTGGGATTACAGGCCTAAACCGCAACACCTGGCCGGACGTACAACGTTCAAATCCTGAAGTAGCTTAAAATGAAAGGAAAAGAAAAAAAAAAAAAGAAAGGAAAAGAAAATGTAAGGGGCCGGGCGTGGTGGCTCAAGCCTGTAATCCCAGCACTTTGGGAGG